ACAAAATAAATCCTCAGTTTTTAATTTTTGCAATCTAAATTCTAATCTTTTAATTTTTTTTTTTCAATTTAAACCATCTGTCTATTTTCATTAAGTAAAATCGATAGGAAAAATGGTATTTTAGTCATTGAACTCAACAAAAATAGTATTTTAGACATTTTGTGTATAACTACATTGAGTTTAATGGGTAAAATACCTTTTAATTGTTGGTTTTACTTAGCGGAATTAGATTAATGGTTTATATTGAAAATAAATAAAAAGATTAGGGTTTAAATTGATAAAATTTAAAACTCAGCGTTTATTTTGTTACAAGAGTCAAACTCTATATTATTTTTTGTAATTTCCCCTAATTTTTTTTGCATTGAGGGGTTCAGTGACGAAAGAAACGACGTGACGATAAAAAGAGAACTATCCTAACTTGTTTGGATGATTGAAGAGATACAAAATGAAAGACAAACTAGTGAGAAAAAAATAGAAAAAGTTGTTCTCAAACTCTTTCTCAACAAAATTAGTGAGATTATGGAAAGTTGATATATATGTATTTTTTTATTTTCAAAATGCCTAAATTACTAATCTAATTACATAACATTGAAAATAAAATGACATTTTTTATTTATTGTCCATCCAAACACAATAGTGAAAAATCATAATCATTTCTTTTCTTTTCTTTACTTTTTTTCTTCTCACCTAGATGAAAAATCATATTCTCATCGTTTCCTTCACACTAATCAACTATTTGGTTAGCTGTGGAACTTTTATTATTAAAAATCAGATAATGCTGAATTATTGTTTGTAATAATGGTGTTATATCATGACATATCTCGAAATAATGGTTATGGATGGGATCACCATAATAGTTATCCTAATGTGTCAGCCAGAAGATAACTTCAAACAAAGTGGAAAAAATAGGAGGAAAATTCAGATTGTTTAATTGACAGATCTTGGCCAGAATTGTACTAAAATTGTTATTAAAAATCTTGTACTAAATGTAATATTTATGTTGTCTGTTTTGTTCTTTTGTCTTATATTTCTTATGCTGATTAAGGGTTGGATTGGATTGTTGGAATGGTTAAAAGTGGTGGTGCAAAGAAAATAGTCCACAACTATGACTTACATATTGTTGTTGTTGTTGCTGTTTTGGTTTGTTTTGTTTTCGTTTTCTTCTTCTTTTTTAATGAAAAGAAAAGTGTTGGTTGCTTTGAGTAGAGATAGTTGGAAACGATATGAGCCTGAGCTTGTCACTTTGTAAGGAATATATTGAAATTTTCATTTGTTTGGCATATTTTACAAGGCTATGTCGTTCCTATCCTTTGTTTGGCTGCTGAGAAAACTTAGAAAAAGTAAATGATGATTGAGACCTTTAATTTACTATTGTGTTGGTTCATATGTAAACAAAAACCAAACAACTAAGCTTGGAATAATTTGTGTGGAGATGAGCTTGAATTTTGTTTTTCTTTGGAACTGAGCAGGAAATGATTTATACGAATTCCCATTTATTTTTCGTGTTTTCTTGAAAAGCAGAATGTCTATACTTCCCATCGTGCCACCAAGGTTCCTTAGAAAAGAAAAACAGTGACAGGTTCATTAAGCATATGATATGCAGTCAAAATTGTTAATGAGGGTTTGGGGCTTAGCTCAAATACTGGTTGTGATCTTCAGTAGCTTATCAATGTGTTGCAAATGAATGTACCTGCAAGTTGCAACTAGGAAGTTGTAAAAGATTGTGTCAATTACCTGTAATAGCATATACTTGGCTTGTGTTGGCTTACCTTGTTAACATGAGCTACATTTTCTAATTAGTACCCAATACAAATACTGAAGCGACATTTGGATTCTAGGGCTCTTATAAATTTATGTTTTGGACACTTGACACTTGCAAGGATATGGGATATGTCTCCTAAATGCCTAGTTGGAGATGCACCCAACAAGTATGTGTAAGTCAAGTTTATTATATAACTATGCGTAAGACTTCTATTTTATTTGTAGAATGATATATTTTAAGTTTTAAACATCATTTTACTGTTAAGACACATACCTGAACCTAACGCATATATTGTACCGAGTCCATGTAACATAGATGGTCATGTTTCTTCTCAATTTGAACATAGAAAAGTGGCGTTATCTGATTGATCCTCTCAGTATGATCGCACAATGCTTCTTCTGAATGGCTTTCATTTTCATTTCCTTCTCCTGTTTTTGTTATAGATGAACATATACTTGAAGGTCATTAAAACTGTTGCCTTAAAGGTGAAGACATCCGAGACAATCAGAAATCTAAAGGCAATGTTACGCGAGAAAGAAGGCATTTCAGAAAATATTCAAGAGCTCTTTTTCACTGGTGAACGACTCAACAATGACCAAAAGCTTGTTGATTATGGCATTCAGACCCACTCCACTCTCCATCTCATCCTCCAAAATTCATGTCCAATAAATTTCTTCATCTACATACCATCAAACCAAAAAATATTTGAACTTGAAGCGAAGACTCGCGATACTGTCCAAAACATCAAATCACTGATTCAGGACAAAGAGGGTATACAACCAGATTGTTACAAACTTTTCTACGAAAGCCACTGGAAGATAACAGTACTTTGGCCTTTCTCAATATACAGCCAGAATCTATTCTTCATTTGGTCTTTAACCCAACAGATACGCTGTCGATTTCTGTGAAAATGTCTAATGGAGAGATCCTGAAACCTGAAGTTAAGCTCTTGCACACAATAAGTGATGTCAAGGGAATAATTGGGAGTATGATTGGTGTCCTGGTCAGTGACAATGATGTAGTGTATGATGGAAAGAGACTCGAGGATGGGAAGAGTTTAGCTTTTTATAACATCATAGAGAACTCTATCTTAGACAAGGTCAGAGACCTGAAGGATATGATTTTCTATAGGCTGGGAGAGCCAGTTAGTCTTTTGTTTGCTGGAAAATCACTTGAGGATGACCAGGATTAGGCTAGTTACAATATCCATAAACTTTCCATTGTCCATATAGCCGTTCCGCTTCCACTGCAATCTGGAAAATATTGTAAAAAACTAGAGAAAACATTGCCTTCTCCATTTCAGATATTTGTGAAGCACTGGAATGGAAATACTCTGGTTCTTACTGTACTCGGACAGGACAAGGTTAGGGACGTGAAGGATACGATTTTCAATAGGCTGGGAGAGCCAGTTAGTCTTGTGTTTGCTGGAAAATCACTCGAGGATGACTAGGATTTGGCTAGTTACAATATCCAGAGACTTTCCATTGTCCACATAGCCATTCCCCCTCCACTATAATCTAGAAAATATTGCAAAAAACCGGTGGAGGAAGTATCCAAAGCATACAATGAAGATGGTTTTCTTTGAAAGTGCCGTACGCATGTTTCAGTATTTCATTATCAGATGAAGGTTTCTAATTCCCTTAGTATGCATTTTGAGACTATCTGTTTCAACTGCTATCCTTTTTGGACATATTTAAGTATGTTGTTATGTTGCATCACTTTCTATTGTTCTTTGGCCACTATGGTCTTGTTCATACTTTAATATCTGGTTCTTTACAAATGCTATCAATAGTAGAATTATATTAAATAAAAAAACAACTAGCTAAAGTATAAGGGAATCTTGGGAAAGGTAAAGTTTTAGCTGATTGACATAACTCTGTGGAATTGCTTTATTTTACCCTAATGGTGAGGAAGAGAAAGAACTGTTGTTGAATATTGGGTGGATCCAACTAGTTAACGTGGTTAAATAGCCCCACTTGCTGCAGTTTTTTTGCAAGTTAATAGTTGATTATAAAAAAGTAGTAGTGAAAAACTCTGCCCTGACTTTTCGATAATAAACTTATTTAAGTTATTTTTGTCACATCGGACTTTGATAGCTCAATAGAGAATCCAGCAAAATTTACAAGTCAAACGGCTTCCCCTGCTGCTGCAAGCAACACTGGATGAAAGTGAATAGAGATGGCTCAACTGTTGCAAACAATAGTCGTGGCGAGAGGAGGTGCTTGTGGCTTCGTCAGGAAGGAAAATGATTTACAAACAAAATTTTTGTACAGGAAAATGATTTACAAAAAAATTTTTGTACAGGAAAATCATCCAATGGGTTGCCATCACAAAAATATAGTAAGAAGCTCAACTTTCAGCTTTCCCCTCTCCACTGGCTAGCTGTATGGGCTGCTATATTTTAGCACTGCTAAGCAACTTTGGCCCAAAGTTTAGCTACAAGTAAATTTTGACAATTCTTGCCTTCACTACCTCTATCATGAAGACTCACATATAACATTTTAATTTGACATTTTGTGAAAAAAGAAAAAGAAAAAGAAAATTGTATTTATTAAAATATAACATGTTACTATTCATTGTTAAAATTTAGCAGTAGCTATTGAAGATGCTCTTGGGATTAGAAAAGCGGCAGGAGCCTAGGAAACGGTTGCCCCCCATCTCCAAACCAAACAAAGAAAAGTTTCACACTATGAACTAGCTCAATAGTTGGCCCCACGAGAGTATCCCTTTAGGGTTCCAAGCCCAAAAAACACTATCAAGATGAAAATGTTCTACACTGTCTTATAAGTCCATTATGGGCATCATCATTATTCAAAGTGAGATATCAACATATTAAAAAGATTTGATTTATCACCTTCTGCTGATGCTCTCTAACCAGAATAAAAATGGATACAAGAAGAAACCTCCAATTATGTATAGCACACTCTCTCCCACACACATTTGCTTGCACCATATGCTCCTTGTGCATAAATATGAGTTGTGATCACTTGTTTCTTGAATTGGTATGGAAAGGTGGTTATTGCGAAAATATACTTCTAAACTCATGTTGCAACTTGCACAATGTGTTTCAAACCATTGGGGTTCCATCACAAAATTCAACCACTTTGATTTGCTATTTCTCGGTTGAGGTGATATGCTGTTTGGCATATGATGCAAACAACATTTCTCAGTAAATATGTAAATTTTCTCAAAATAATCTGTTCTGGATTACTTCCAATTTTACATAAAATAAATCCAGTTTACCAACGACAAAAAAAATATACTCATATATCTTGTGAAGTTGTAATGTCAACAAAGAATATCTACCAAAAAATCTGGAAAAACTGCACTAGGAGTGCATACCTTATATACTCAGAATGCACTTTGTTTGATACATAGAAATTCACACCACACACACATACTACAATCAAGTTTGGACACAGCAACTAAAACATCAGAAAAAAGCATATATCAATCACCTTGCTGTGACATTTAGTATATTTTCCAGTGGACTGAATGGAACATGATTTGGACCTTGGATTCCTTTCACAGGACGCAAACAAGCCAGATGGCCTCGTATTTGGTTGCAAATGGGAAGTTTGCTTGCGTGCACCGTGGCTTCCTTCTCTCTCACGACTGGAGCTCCAGTCGGGTCCTACAATTTGAAAAAAAAAAAAAAACTATTTGAGTATTCAAACATGCACAAGATACAAACAGCAAGAAGAAGATGTAGCATCTTGTCTGATTTTGGTTCTTCAACAACCCTTTCTTTTGAAGAAATAATTCTCTTGAAGGCTGTGTTTAGATTGATGATTTGAGGAGCGATTTATGAAGCGAAAAGAGAAGGGAAGGACAAATGAAGGTGGAAGATGATTTCAAATAGAGAGAAAGTGGGACAAATGCTATTCACATATGAATGGGATAAGCATAAATATCACAACATAGAAAGTATTATTAAGTGGCAGGAAACATACCCCAAGCACGAGAAAAGTGAATGCTTGTTTTTCTGCACCAAGGTGGATTTCAATCAGCTTCCGCAGATCAGCAAGGGTCGCATCCTTTACAACCTTTAGAGTGGTGATAAACTTCCCAGCATGTTCCTTTGACACTTCCCATTTCACATACACTTCAACCAGATCACCACCAGTGCTTACTTCTAATGATTCGTAGTTCTCCTTTGAATCCACTGATAGCTCATCAGAATCCCGGATTTTGTTCATCAGTGATTCTGCAGAGATTTCATTGGATGATTTTTTCAAAGTAGAATCCTCATCAAGTGTTCTCACGGGAGATGAGTGAGGATCAAAGCTGTCAAACCTCTTTTTGACTGGAATTGGGGTTCTATCGCGAGAAATCTCTCGATAGTTCCCACAAAGTGTGAATATGTTTTGGATTCTTTCTAGCCTAGAAGATGTTGCATCCTTAGCATCTTCAGGTTCACCTCTCAATCCTGAACCTACATAGCATGATCTATCTGCGAACCATTCAACGTTTTCCATCCTACTAGAATATACTGTCTTCTCTTCTATTACCTCTTTCTCCACTTCTTCATCAGCTGACTTCTCTTTGTCTGCCTCATGTTCTTCTACTTCTTCCTCAAATACAGTGCTCAAACTTACTTTCTTGGCAAATCTTGGGGCAAAATCATCGTCATCATCATGATCTTCATCATTCAATCCATTTATATTGGGCAGATCCCAAAGGGCTAAGTTAGAATTGTTGCCTATTGTATTAGCCCCGCCATCAAAATATTTGATTTGTCTACCGATGTCCAGATCCATCGATTTATCCAAATCCATTGATTTCTCCATCCCTGGATCCTCGTCAGCATAAATGTCTAATAGCCTTTTGGCAAATCCACTTCCATCAATGTCATTAGGCCCATTAACATTTCTGTCCTTTGAACACCGTAGCTCTAACTCAATTTCCTCCAAACGTCGCCTAAGAATTTCAACTTCTTGTTGTTGTTGCAATATCCTTTCTTCCATCTTCCTCCTCTCCAATTCAACAAAATCATTTGCCATTTTCTCACATTCTTGTATTTTCTTCTCCAACTCGCTTTTCAGCGTATGGATTCTCTCATTCACCTTCATGCTAATTTCACTCGTCCCCAATTCCTTCCCTTCCACTACTGTAAGTTTAGCCCTTAAAGCAGAAATTTCTTCTTCTTTCTTCATAAGTTCTTTACGGGCTTCATTGCGCTCTTTCTCTCTAAGCTTGTTTTCCATTTGTAGTTTGAAAATGAACTGGTCCATAGCTGTGATCCGTGATCCTAAAATAACTGCTGATGATGAATCTTCCGTGCCATGCTTGTCCTTGAGTGGTGTATGAGGACCACGAACAATGCATTTTGCTTTTGCTCCGTATTCAAGAGTAGAAATCGTCTTGTGCATCTCCTTGGGATCCGGGCTAGCACACAATATCATCAAAATCTTCGACTTATCATCCTCAAATGAATCCTAAAGACAAAAAAAAAAAAAAAAAAAAACAACACAAGGATTTGAAAAATAAAGATTTAAAAAGAATCAGAAAACAGAATCATGTTAAACTTTATATGACAATATTATGACTGAAATTTACCTGCAAAAGCATAGTCAACTTGCTGTCTCTGAACGGCACGTGAGAATCACCATTTGCAATGGACTCTACCACTCTCTTTAGTGCTATATTTCCTTGGTTGATCTTTCCAGTCTGCACTTTCAATGGAAAATAAATTAATAATTTTACTAATTAAAACCTCGAATCAGTAGAAGGGACCTTCATAATTTTTCAGAAAGCTACTAATAGAGCATTGTTTAAAAATAATACCTGCATTTTGGCTTCCAAACCATTTTGACCAGCTTGCTCAATATTTTCAGAACCAGCCATGTCAACAAGCATAAGCTGTCCTCCCATAGTTGGGACATCAAGAATTACCTGTGAAAAAACAAAGAAGTGCAGGTTCAAGTAAATAGGATTCCATGAATAAGGTATCCATCAAAAAGAGGCACAGAGAGAGAGAGAGAGATTCAAACCATGCAGTGGCTTCGAGAGCTCCTCTCATTGCAGAGTGTGCTTTTGACAATCCTTCGCTTCTCAACTTTTTGGATCTCTTTTGATATCTTTGCTGCTTCATTTCCACAGATAAAGGTTGCATTCTTCGCCTTCTTTCCCATCACTTCAAGTCTTACCTGCAAATGCAAAGTGAAGATTTGAAGTTACTAATAGAGAACAAAGTACCCACATAAGCACACATGGGCAAACAAGTGACCTAATGGTAAGAACGGTAGCATTTGTCCCATGGTCAGAGAAAATTGAACTACCAGCCTAATTCCAGGCTAACATAAGACAGACATCTAAGGAAGGATAAGGCCTATCATTCAATTGACAGAAACCAGAAAAACTGTGAATAAGTGTGAGTGCAAAACAAAAGAAATAAATCCTAAGAAGAATTATGCCTAGGTTGCATTCATGAAGTCCTTTTTCTCCTCAAACTCAACATCATAAAAAAGTATAGCTCAAAAAATGCAATCCTTTTACCCTCAAAAATCAAAATGTGTGTGATAATTGGGAAATTTATCTGTTCATGCATACAGTTTGAAATGTCATCCCTAATCCCTTGTATGAAAATGTCCCGGTTTATGCTTATTATAACAAGGCATTAGTCCATCCACCAGAAGTCCTACTTGTTAAGGAATCGAAAACCTATTTCTTCTTCCTTTTTTCCTTTTTGACATGTAAGATTTCATATTTGTTCTATTCTATCATCAAAAAACAGATCTCCAGGTAAATCAGAATTGAATAACATAAGGGCAGAAAACATGTAATGAGAATGAATAAATCTTAATAGTGTCCAATGTCCCCTTCAAACAAAAACAGCCCAAAGATTCAAGCTAAGCATTTCCAAAACCTGGGCAATCACACACAAACACAATAGCAATACTACCTACCCATAAAAAATAACCAAATTTGAATTTAACATTTAGCATTTAGGCAAACAAAATATCAAATTTCACCTTGAATATAAAACTACAATAAATTTCAACTGTACTACTTGAAGTCAGTGAACAATTAAAACCCATAAGAAAAAATTCAATTCATTGTAATAATTAGATTTTCAAACAAAAAAGTAGTTTTTTTCACCTTGGATGCACTGCCCTTAGACCAACCAAGGCTCAATCCTCCACCATTATTCGTCGACAACAAATCATATATCTCTTCGTTGTATATCTCCAAGACAGTTACTTGAACAAATGTTCCAACCCCAACACCCTCACCCAATATATCCTTCAAAGATCTGTACACAATCCCTGGCTGTTTTGCACATCCAAACATGGTATAACTCTTACCAGACCCCGTTGGACCGTACATCATTACTGTACACTTAGCCCCCAGTTTCACACCATTAATCCTAGATTGCACAAACTTCTTGTAAAACCCATCAAGATCTTCTTCTTCAGATAATGAAATCCCATCTAGGCTAAAATTTCGGTACCCAATATCGGTACGCACACGAAGAGACTGGCTATCTGGATTGATCTGCAATGCTGAGATGGGTTTGTCTTTTCTATCCGGGTAGTCTCGTATTCTGCCTATAACTTCCACTGGATGTTCTGTTGGTGGGAGTTCTCTGGCTGTGGTGTTTGGATTTGGGGATGGTTTTGCCATGTTGAAATTCAAGCGGTGCTTCGATTGGGGTGTCTTTAGCAGGGTTTGATTTGATTTTGAAGAAGGTGTATGAGCCATTTGATTTGATTTGGCTGAAGGTGTTGGTGCCGTTGAAAGAAAACCCAGAAAAATTTGAAAGGAAATTTTCAAACTCTGTTCTGGGTTCAGAGAGTAGAGATCTGAAATGAAGATTTTCTTGGAGTTTCCCGAGAAAATTCAAGATTCAATTTCAGAATCTTCTGGATTTTGAGAGACAGATAGAGAGAGTAGGCTTTATCGAAAGCTGAGTTGAGGAGAGAGAGAGAGAGAGAGAGAGAGAAGAAGAAGAAGAAGAAGAAGAAGACTTTAGGGCGATGTGAATTTGGGAAACAGAGAGGCAGTTAAAAATGAAAGAAAGAGAATAGTTTCTGAGAAAGAAAAGAAACAGAGAAAGATGGAAATGAAGTTTTTAAATTGAAATGTAGCCGTTACGAAGTCTAACGTCCATATTTACTGGGCTCCTCGCGCGATCACCGCCGATTTGGTTTCTTTCCTCGTGAATTAATCGGTCTGTGTAGTAGTAGTAGTGTCATCATATTGGGCTGGGCCGACCAAGGTGGGTCCTTCTTTTGGGAGTTGCACTGATGACCCATTCTCACTTTAGCCCAAAACAAAATAAAAATAAATAAATAAATAAAATACTTCATATTAGGAATGGCAACGGGGCGGGGCAGGGCCGGGGACTACCCCCCCCGTCCCCGATCCCCGAAAGTGACCCTCTATTTAACTTCCATTAATCAGATGCCAAAAAAATCATAATTTGGAAACTAATTACAACAAACTTTGTCAAAGTATAGCAGCTGTAAAATCCCAAGTTTTTTTTTTTCTTTTTTTTTTTAATTTTGTTCAACACAACACAACACAAGAACAAAAAAAAAAAATGAATTTGTTTTCATTATCATCATCAACAATCTGAATCAACAACAATCATCAACTTAAAATAAAAAATAAAAACTGAAATTGAAGAGAATCACTTCATTTATTTTCATCATCACCATTAACAAAAAATTTGAAATCTGAAAAAAAAAAAAAAACCAGAATCACTCATAGAAATCCAGAAAGACTAGATCGTTGAGGATTTAATCTGTTTTCATCATCAAGAAAAATTTAACCTCACTTCTGAGGGGCAGCGGCAGCGGCGATGCCGAGGGGAGTGGTGCCGATGCCGAGGAGGCTGGCTTGCTTCAACTCTAGATCGTTGAGGAAGATGAAGGTGAGGGGACGACGAGGATGATGAAGGTGGTTCTGGCGATCCACGAGGTTCTGGCGGTCGGAGATTGCGACATCGCACCTGAAACCCTAGATAGAACCCCTTTCGTTACCGCTGCTGCTCTGCTCGATCTACTGAAAGAGAGAGAGAGAGGGAAGAGAGAAATCGAGCGAGAGAGAGAGAGGAGATGAAGAGAAGCGTCGTCTCTACCTCTGCCCAGCAGAGACGGCTCTGTGTTGTTATAATCACACACACACACAAAACCCTAATCATACACACACATATGTTATATATAAAGCAGGGGCAAAAGGGTAATTTCACATCAGGGGACAGCCGGGCCGGGGATCGGAGCTGGGGTCGGGCCGGGGCTGAAACATGTATCCTCATCCCCGGCCCGAATATCATCGGGGATTTAATTTTTAATACCATCCTCGGCCCGTCGGGGGTATTTTTTAGGGATTAACCACTCAATTCAGGGTTTTTTTATTTTTAAATAAATGCGTTTATATTTATTTTTTGTTTGTCATTAACATATAATTTAGGAAATTTGTAAATATCTCAAAATTTCTATCAAATGTCTCATATGAGCGTGGACTTTACAAAAAAAAAAAAAGTTGAAATCAAATTTAAAATCATTAAAAAGGTTTATTTATTTATTTATGTTTCCCTTTCTTTTGGAGAAAGAAAAACATTGTGAATTTTGGTACCAAATGTGGGAGTGGATGATAACTAATTGGTGTGTGAGCATGCCAAGACTTGTGACCGAATCCAAGGTGATATGACTTCTATCAAGTGAACTATGAGCGATTAAACTGAGACATTCTAAGCTGTTGGAACTTGAGAATGGACAAGATAAAGGCGTTGGGCTAGATTGAAGCATGTGAAACCTTGATTGGTTTGTTTGGTGCTAGATCCTTTGTCATGCCCTCTTCCTTGGGTATTTATAGTTGTTGTTGGCAATTATTCGGTCCTAATTTCTCTTCTGGCAATCTATGATGGCCTTCTACATAGCCCATGATCTTCCGCTTAAAACTAAGCACTTTCTGTATTTGTAGATAGTTAGTGTCAAATTCTTACATGTCATCATGTATTCTTTCTTCCATGCCACCACTTACCTACAATCTCATCAGTTAATTCATCTGTGATTAGCTTGTTGTATCTTTATGATAATATGTCATGTGTCTCGTGATCTCTTGTCATTATCAACCACACCTGTTATATTTTATAGTGAATTTTTTACCATGAGTAACCCACCCATAACTTAAGATAATAACCCATAGTCTTAAAGGCCTTAAAACATTGCCACGTGTATTTTTTCATGCTTTTAGGAGTTGTCCCACTAATATAGAATAAGGAAAAAGATCCGGATCCCCTTTGAGGGTCACCCCACAAGCCTCTCATTGGCTTTTTTTTTTTTTTTTTTTTTTTTTCTTCTCCTCCTCCAATCACCAACCCCACGTGTGTGTGGGGGTGGTAGGGATTGGTGATTGAGGGGGTTTCAATCACATCCCTATAGAATAATTTTGTGTTAGTTGAGTTCATGGGAGCAATCACCAAAAAGATCCAAGAATATGGATATGTGGTGTGCATCATGACTGAATCCTCTTTGCACATTTATAATTGCTTGATAGTTATGCTAAGAGAAAATGAGGGCAGGATCTTAAATTGCTTCTTTAAAATCAGGAGCCCATAATTGTTACTTTTGATCAAGTCAACTCCTTATTTGTTGCTATAGATATATCTAAGGATGGAAATTTCAGACATAACATGATAAAATGACTCGAATCGTATACGAAATTAATGGATTATGATTGATTATTTTTTGATACGAACACGTATATGACACGATTCGTGAACTCATATAATAAATAGGTTGTGTTTGGGTTGAACCCGCGAAATCCAAAAATGACACGTCTAACCAATTTGTTTTAGCGTGTAACTCGTTAACAAGAATACGACCCGTGACAAAAAAATGTTTTGTTTACCACTTGTGTAACGACGTTTTTTCACTATATATACATATATATATATATATATATATATATAAGTGTAAGAAAATAAAGATAAATGTTTATATTAATTAATTGTTATATAACTCAACATTTTTTTTCTTCTTGATTTTTTCCCTTTCTCTTTTCTACCAAATAAGATTTTATTCTTTTCTTTACTTTTCTTTTCTTTTCTTCTAAATAAGATTTTCATGTTTGCTTCTCTCTCTCTCAAACAGATTTTTTGTTGTGTCAATTGTGTCGTGTCGTGTCATGGTAAATAAATAAGTTTAGAAATTGACCATGCCAATTGTGTCACCCACGGGTCAGCACAATTATTAACAGATCATGTTAGCATTTACATATATGACACGTTTATTAAATCGGTCGTGTTCGTGTTTATATTTTCAACATGTAAACTCGATATGATATGACCCTAACATGACACGACATGACACGATACCCCTAAATATATCAAGGTTTAAACACTACAGATTGACCCAATCAAAACTTGGGCGCCACGGATTGCCCCCAAGCCACTTCTTCTCTTGAATCTTCATATCAAGTGGCGGCCTCCTATTGATTGTGTCAAATAGGTACAAATAATATTGTGGGGGCCGAACAAAGATTATAAATCCAAACAGCAAACAGAGTTTCCAAGCCCATCTAAATATGGGTCGAGTAAGGTCAAGGCCCACTGGACTACGCCATTGTCGAATATGGAGGAGCGCCGAACTGTTATCTCTAATAAATGGAGCAGAATGTGTTGGAAGAATCAGCATTGACCTATTAGTTGAAACTAGAATGTACAAGGGAAGTATGGTAACGGGTTGGGCCTAGACAGAGTAATGATGGAATGCGTTAAAAACTTGAACTCCAAGATACCAAGAAAGACCAACCTTACATAAGGACCAACTTGTCCGACGTGCTAATTCCAGCACTACCATCCGGAATCTTATTTTTATCTCAGGTAACAACTGGAAGATCGAAGGCTTGTTTAGACCGAAGGAGTGTTCCATTTCCACCTCCACACAAATATCGTCAAATTGTTTTCACTTTTCGATCACAAATAATGCTATATGTACCAATTGATATATCAATTAGTGTATTAACAGATAATGTGTTATAATTTTAGAGGTTTTGAATATTTATAATTTGTATAATGGATGGGGTCAATAATAATATTATAATATGTGTTAATACACTAATTAGTATACCAATTAGTATATATAATACCACCGTTTAATCACACATGGGCATTCATACAATAACTATAGTGAGTTATATATGTATAGATGACATCTTTCCTATCTACACAATAAATATAATGAGTCATATATATATATTTATGCAGGAAGTAGGAAAAACAGAAGATAAAATTCATCCAGTAACAAATTTCATTTTCTTTAAAAATAACAATCAGTTGAATATGATCGAACACAATTTTTTTTTCTTTCTTTCTTCTGATTGTGATAATATGTTATACTTCAAATGCCTTCCCTTTCAACCATTGATATCAAAAAATAAAAAAAAGACTTACTAGTTTAGCTCTCTCATTTTGGTTGAATTTTCAGAAACTGTTTTCTTAAGAAGAAAAAAATGTAAAAGTAATTTGGTAAAACAAATTAAAAAATAAAAAATTATTATTATTTTCATATGATTTTTTCTTTTTTAGGATGAAATTTATTTTGAAATTTAAAAAATAAATAACTTTATTTTTGTCCAACTAATTTTAATTTTTTTGAAAAAAAAAATCAAAAAAGAAATGATTAAAACTCAACCAGACAGACATGTATGAACATGCTTTTGATAAACAAAAAGCAATTCAAAGGGATCTTTTTCATACTCTCAAGCAACCATACAACTAGATTGAAAGAGATCTAACCGTGCAACAGAGATGGAATTTGAGACAGAAAAAAAATATCACAAAAGACTCGTCTCGTACCTCAGATTCACCCTTCCACATCTAAAATTTGAGCTTTTCAAAATGTCGGTATTTAATTTGTAGTATATGAACATAGCCTTTTAAGGGGACGGGATCCTCTTTTCCCAAATTGTTCCCATTTCCCCATCTCGCTTACAATCGTATGATGTGAATTTCATTAAATTTAAAATGCAAGATAGTAAGATTATAAAATTTTGAGATAAGGAGGACGGGTTTTTTTGGGTATACAAGATCCCAACCCCTTTTGACCGTCTTCTCAGAACACTTGAAAAATTAGGCACATACACAGAGTGAAAAACTTTAAGTGACTGTTTCACCCTGAACATAAATATATATATGGGAAATTCTATATATAATATACTTTCAGAAAATTAGTTTACAGTTGATACAACAGTTGTCCTTCTAATGCAGCATGTCTCTCTATACAGTCATTTACATACCAACAAAGTATCGTCCTCCTTCCGCGGCTCAAACACATGTATACGCACGAAATAAAGAAAAGGAGAGAGAGAGAGAGAGAGAGAGAGTTACATGAGAAAATTTGATTTGTGACTATGGTAGTGGTAGCTGCACTACCCAAAAGTCTATGAGATCACGAAAACTCTAAGCTCGTCCCTATCACCCCTAGTGATGCGGGTATCAGAGTCCATATAAGTAACTTCAAATTCCCCACTACCTGTATTTGATGGCGGCCTTAAAAAATCTGGTATCCGAGGTATCTCCAATGGAGGTATCTGTGATAAGTTCCCACCAGTCTTCACAGTTGTCTTCTCAAATGTTATTTTTATCTTGGATGATCCTGGTTTATGTCAAAAGTTGAAGAACTTTACAATGAACGTAAAATTAAAAATAAAGAACATGCAAAAGATTTTTAAAAAGTACTTTGTAAATTCAAAAAATAAATTTGAAAAGAACCAACCTATGAGTTCAAATTTGTGGGCTAAGGTGGCAGTCAATTCAATGGGTGGTATAGGCCATGGAGTGCCTAATTTGAGCTCCACTATGTTATCAAAATCTTTGCCGAAAATGTCAATCCTTTGAAATACCTGAGAAAAACAAAACAGGCTATTAGAGCACAGGAAAGGTTGAAACTTGGTTTCAATGACCAACAAGGAGGTAAATCAGTAGGCTTTTCATGCACGTATAAGTTGCAAGAGCACAGGAAATTTAATGATTTTGGACCGTTTAACCGGGATATTATTAGATGGTTCACTTTTCTCAATAAAAAAAAATGTCAAAAGAAGTTTCCTAAAAAGAGGGTATAAAATCAAGAAATTGGTATGCACAACAAGATTGTTCGGAAAATCTTGTGGCTTAAAAGAAAGCACTTGAAAAAAAAATCCTAAACCTAGCTTTTCAAAAAAGTGCCTTTTCAGCTTTATTTTGGGCTTTTTTTATTTGAAAAAGCAAATAACTGAAAACCTTAATGGTTTAACCAAACATCCTAACCTTTTGAAGTACAATTGCTTAAACATGGAATTTAAAATTTTAAGCTAAATAAGCCTTTTTCCCAACAAGAGAAACCATGCTTTGGTAGAGTGAACTTTGTAAGTCCTTAGCATTCCATGTATCTTAAAGGGCACAGTTTAAGATAAATAATAAACACTAAGGCTGTGTTTGGATTCAAGATTTGAGGAGAAATTTAGAAGAGAAAAAGAAAAAGAAAGTGAAATGTGACAAAAAATTAGCTTCTATTTCATTCACTTTTCCTTGCCCATTTCCTTTTTCTCTACAAATCCTTTCTCAAATCCTTGATCCAAACACAGCCTAACAGACAACAATAAGAATGTAGGGGACGTTCAAATGCACCTGGCCAAGAGTTATGGGAAGTAGCCTTCCAGTGGGTGGCCCGGGTCGGCTTCCACCTAGAGTACGAGATGAGAATGCACTACTATATATCAGTTTCCATCTTCCTTGCAGTTTATCAAGATCGGCGGAGAGATCTACGGGTCCTCCAACAGCTTCAAGCTCCTTGGCAGCAGCATCTGCCTTCTGTATATCATCTTCAGTAGCAGCAAGACCTCTGTTTAGCCCAGAAACAGCACTCTGCAATCAACCAACACAAATGTGTTCTAAAACAAGTCTTACTGGTATAAATGGACACAAATATTATAGCCCTCAAGCTTTTGCTTTTCTGTGAATTTCATGACATATATGTCTATGTTGAGGACTGCGTCATGGGTTTAAAGATTAATCCAAGTAAGAAAAATTTATATGATTTTAGGAGCACGTCATTGATCACCTATGCTCCGCAACTAAGAAGCACTGACACTTTTATAGAGGAAGCGTGTCATATCAGACGCTTGTGTCGTACACCGTCACTCTTTGGACACTCCTAAAAGCGTGTCCGATACTTATTCAATGTGTCTTAGTTAAAAATTTAAATTCCTAACTTCAAATACTTTACTGACACTTCGGCGACACTTCTTCAACCCTCCAAACATGACCTATGTGATGAATCTTTTCATAGTAACAATGCCCCACATTCTTCGGAATGCAACTTCTGCAATCTTAATATGTTTTAAAACATTTATAAGATAACTATGTCAAATACATGAACTAGTGAAAATATTTATAAGATGAATGGATCATGTGTATTTCAATTATTTTGCATTATTTAAAATACAATTGTTACGTTAATGATATCTCGATGTTGAAGTTATGGAGTACAAGGCTTTTCAATTTTAGTGTAATGCTATTTTATTTTCGCTAGTTTATGTAGTTGACATATATAATAAATTTTTAATGTGTTCTAAGCATATCATGTCCTGCATTTTTTTGTAAATCATTGTATCGGTGTGTTCATATCGTGTCACATGTCTTTGCCATTTAGCTCCGCAAGTAGAGAAAATAATCTAAGCGATGATTTCATCTTTCTGTCTTAGGGGAGTTAAATTTTTATTTTTCAATGTTAAAAATATTTCTATATTGCACAATAATAATAAGAAAGGAAAAATAGAAAAAGAAAAAGGATGAAAAGTGTGTCTAGCTCAGGTACCAATTGAAATCTCGTAGGCGGACCTAGTTTGTACTTGCCAAACTCTCTAATTAATTACCAACTAAAATTTACAAGTGGATGTTTGCCAATTCCAACATCTCAATCTTACTTATCAAAAAAATAAAAAATCTCAATCATGCATAAATCACACACACAATATTGTAGTAATAAATAAAGCAAGATAATAGACATATTGATATACATGAAAAGCCATTCAGAACAACTATCCCCTCATATTGAAAAACCATGAGATCAAAATCCACTAGATCAAGAGTTCAATATAAAAACTCACAATTGTGTTAGCCTTGACACCTTTCCTTTCAAGCTCACAAGCTCGAACTCCACTCACAAGTGGCGTTGACTATGCTGTCAGTCTCCTCTTATCTAGATCTCCCCTTCTTGCAGCTATAGCCGCAATTGGCCAGTTGACAAATGTAACTAATGCATAGTGAATTATCTAAGTACGTAGGATGTGAGTGGTTTTCAAAAACAATCAAATTATATTCAAATTAGTGTTCCTAGTGCATAATCAAATCAAATTTTCTTCTCTGCATATGAAGAAACTAGGTTTCCTAGGTTCTTTGGGGATTCAGGTCGGTTAGGGCTTCTTCAAAATTATTATATATGTGTATTAGACTGAAAAGCAAAGGCCCTATTCATATTTTTTCATATCAAGTGTCGTAGTGATTCAGCAATCCATTGGCTTGCTTGAGCACAGTAGGATTTGCGTTCTGTAGACTCAGCACTACTCCACACACATAGACTCCCAATAATCAGACAAATCACACAATAAAGACTCCCAAACAAATACAAAGGGACATGGTTGGTAGCCTACTTCCTTGACCTTTGTGTGTGTTCCCATGGAAGAGAGAGTCACCTCCTTTACATGGGGTGAATTCAACAAATTTGCCAGTAACATAATTCGCTGAGCATCAGAAAACAGATAATTCAAACCAAATTAAACTCAATTTGCATTTAAGTTAACTGAATAGATAGTATTTAGAAATTGTGCACGATTCAATTCACTAATCAAACTACATGCATTTGGAAAACAAACAATTCAACAAAATTAAACCGTAATTATTAAATAATGATAGAATGATCCAACACATCACTAAACTAAGGGAAATTCTACTATACCATATGCCCCTAGTTATGTCATTTTTGACCAATTTTCGAAGAGATCTTTGATTAATTATGCCACCTATAGTGTTTGATTATGACTTTTTTTTAGTTAGGACTAAGAAAGTAGTTATGGCTAAGAAAGAAAGAATGTGTGAATTTATATCATTTTTTTTATATTCTTTCCCCTAAGCTAAACATGTGAACACGAAAGGCACAATTTGAAACATAGAAAGAAAAGTCCAATTAAACCCATATAATTGATCTTGTTAATCAAAATTAAACCGAACCCATTACAGGGCAACAATTCAAAATTTGAAAAGAAAAAAAAAACCCAATTAAACCCATTAATCAATCAATCTTTTTAATCAAAATTAAGCCAACCCACAACTGGAATTTGAAGTTATACCAGTAATTTGAGCTTGAGCTCGGGCGTGGATTTTTGTGGCGGCGGAGAGTAGCTAACAGAGATTTCACCAACAGCCGATTGAGGAACGAGGTGGTTGTTTCGCTTGGGACGATGATGAGTTTGGATTTTCCTGTGATGAAAAAAAGTGACAGGCAAAGAAGATGATGAGGGTTGTGGAGAAGGATGAGAGAGGAGAGTTGGAGATGGAATGAGAAAAACAGCAGCCATGGCTGTGGCGATTGTTATCTGTTTTTTTTTTTTCTTCACAAGTGTCGTTTGGTTACAGAATTGTGATTATTATCTGAATTGTGATTGGATGCCAGTGGTTTGTTTTGTAGACTTTTCTTGTATACTCGCACAAAGTATTGTTCTGTTATGTTACTGGTGGCCATGAAGAACCATGGCAACCGACATCAATTTAAATTATTTATTTTTAAAATTTATTAAATAAAATATTGAGATAATTAAAAATTGATAACTATATATTTAAATTATATTTATTTGAAAAAATAAACGATAAATGTAATTTTAATAATAATTATTCATTTTTTTAATATAAATATAATTCAAATATATAGGCCTCGTTTGATTTGTGTTTTGAGATATTATTTTAAAAATAATTTTTTTGAGAGATTTAAAAAAATTTAAAATTGTTTGATTGTATATTGTGAAAATAATTTTAGAGTTTTGGAGTTTAGATTGTTATGATATTTTTGTAATTGAATAGATAAATGTGAGAGAAAAAGTGATTGAGAATGAGAGAGGATAGAGAAAAAGTGATTGATTGATGTGTAAGATCATCTCCAACGGTTCATCAAACCCAGCATCAAATTTAAAATTTGGTGAAAAAATTACTGTTTGATGCTCCAACGGTTGCACCAAATCGATATCAAAATGAGATTTCACCAAACATTTCATCAAACTGAGAACAGGCGAAGCATCTCACCAAATCACTGTTACTGACCGTTGGGGTGATCCCAACCGGTCGACCAGCCGGTTGACCGGCCGGTTGACCAACCGGTCAACCAGTAAAAGATTCAAACAGTTCAAAAAAAAGTTCAAACAGTTCAAAAAAAAAAATTTTCCCTAACCGGTCAATCGGCCGGTCGACCACCCGGTCGTCCCGGAAAAAGTTCAGAAAGTTCAACAAAAACGGTTCAGACAATTCCAAAAAAAAAAAAAAATTTCACTCACCAGTTGACCAGCCGGTCGACCACCCGGTTGTCCCGGGACAGATTTGGTGAAAGGTGAACCGCTGGAGCATCTAGTACCAGATTTGGTGAAATGAGTCATTTTTTACTCAGATTTGATGAAAAATTTGATTCACCGTTGGAGATGCTCTAATAGAGAGAAAATTAATTTTTGTATATATTTTTTTTAAAATTCAACCAAACATGTTTTTGGAATTTTTTCTTGAAAAATATGTTTTTGAGAAACAAACCAACCATGCCAATAGTAACTGTGAGTTGCTGTTTGACAATTGATTTTTTGACTTTTTGGCTATTTTAACTTAGGATTAAAAGTTTGATTGATTTGGCTTTTTAAACTTTTAGGAGAGAAAAAGTGAAATAATTATAATTTGAATATGATATTTTGTCTTATTAGTTTATTTAATCTATTTTATTTTGTATTTTGTTTTATCCAAAAAGTCAATGTCAAACAAAGCCGATCATCTTGATTTTTTATATGAATATTCTATTTAATAAGTCCTACAAAATGAATAGTTCGAATTGCCAAAGTCGGTCCCAAAATGGACTTACCAAGCTCAAATACTCTCTCAAGTTGAGATGGTCAACATAAGAGAAATCCAATCCAAATTGCAAATACGTTCATGGAATTTATTAAAAATATTCTTTAGAAATTACATTTTACTTTTTAAAATTTTTAATCACATAACAAATGATCATCTTCATTATTCAACTACTAAACTAACAGAATACATGACATAAGTTGTGATGACCCCACCATGTATAATAATTTGCATTCAATTAATTAAGGAGATTTGGGTTTTAATTGAGAGCAAATTTTATTTGTACCCTTATACTTTTACACGATTTTCAAGTACACCCCCATACTTTGAATAATTTCAATTTTACCCCAAAAATCTTTGAAATCGTATCAATTTTGCCCCTGCTGTCACATTTGAAAAAAAAAAAGTTAAAAAAATTACATTTTGACCCCAAATTTCAAAATAAAGATGCAAACTCACATTCCCCTATCCAAATTCACTCTCTCTCCTCCTTTGCTCTTATCTCTAACCTAGACCTAGGGTTTTCGAAGATTTTTCACTCCAATATTGCTCCAACAACTTTGAATCTACTCATGAGGTTCACATCTACACCAAACCTACCTACTTCTCTCTCATCCTCACCCTCCTACTCACATTCTCCCTCTTCTTTCCCTCCCCTTTCTTTCCATTCCTCTTAATTGCATCATCATCAGAACCTATAGACCCAATTCCAATACCATGTCCTCACCAATTCCACTCCTTACTCTTCATGAACCACAATGGAACACTCCATAAGACAGACTTCTGGTACAATTGACTTAATGACCACAATTTCAACATCATCAAGAACCAACTTGGAAACAAGCACACCTACGACCTTGAATGGAACAATGGCACTCCTTATGTCTACACCTTGGATGATTTGGACCTAGAATGCCAAGTGTTACATGTCGATGTCAGAATCCTCAGACCCAATTGGTTCGACGGCGCCAACTACCTTGGCCAACACTACATTGATGGTTTTTTTGTCATGTTTGAGAGAACATTGAGCCTCCGTTTGGGAAGTGGGTTGGCTTTTTGGCTTTTTAGCTTTTTTGGCTATTTTAGCTTGGGCTAAAAAGCTTGGTTTGGGAAGGGCTTTTTGACTTTTTGGTTTTTTTGACTTTTTTTGTGAGAGAAGAGTATAATGATTATGGGTTGGATGTGATGTTTTGTTTTTTGTGACTAAAATAGCCTATTTTGTCTTTTGTAGCTAAAATAGCCAAAAAAGCCTGAAAAAGCCCTTCCCAAACGGACCAAGAAAGTAGAAGCTAGAGAGAGAAACCTCCCCCCCTGAGTAACATGGTGGATGGTTAGTTTCTCTACAAATTTGCAATGAGAGAGAGTAAAATATCTATGTATTTTGGTTAGTTATTGTGATTGTAATATGGGTGTCCTTATTTATCTTTCCAACTGGTTGTGTGGCTTTATAGAGTGATAAAAAGCTTGGTGGTTTCTACAAATATGCTATATAAGTGGATACTCGATGAAGAACTCCATTGAGGGGTGGATGTTTCAATGGGTTTTCTTGACAGAGGAAGTCATACTTTTTAGAATGGCTCTGTTTCTTGGAGTGGGTTTTACGTAGTCTAGTCCGATGGGTCTCTGTCGTCGGCGAGGCTATGTAGAGTTGTTGTAGATTTGTTTGTGGTGCCGGTGGTGCTTGGTGGACGTCCAATCGATTAACCTAGAGGTCGTTCTGCTAATTGGCCGGCTCCAGTGTCTGGTATGTTGATATTGGTTGCTATTTACTAGTGTTTCCCATCTCTGGGGTGTGTTATACTCTCATTGGATTGTTGCATCAATAGAGAGTTAGAAGGCAACGTACTAGTCTTAAGCTCGGTCACCACTAGCGCTGGTATGTTTAGGTTCAAATGCAACCCAATTCTCAATTTTCCATAACCATAGCTTATGAGTTGAAGGCATGATTTTGGGAGTTTTCATGGCAAATGAGATGAATGTTACATGAAAATACAACCCAGTTCTCAATTTTAAAGGGCTTGTTGGTGATGGTGATGGTTGGGAAGATGACCATCGAAGGAGGGAAGAAGAGGGTGGCGGAAGGATTTAGGTAATTCAGCGAATGATGAGAGAGAAGAAGAGAGGGTGAGTTTGCATATTTATTTTCAAATTTGAGGTCAAAATGTAATTTTTTAAACTTTTTCCTTTTCAAATGTAACGGTAGGGGCAAATTGATACAATTTCAAACCTTTGGAGATAAAATTGAAACTATTCAAAGTCTGGGGTGTACTTGAAAATCATGTAAAAATATAGGGGTAAAAATGAAAATTTCTCTTTAATTGCCCATTATTCTAATTTAATTTGGGATTTATGAAAATTGTGGAGATTGATTCGTATATGATTCTATTGAGGATTTATTTTGGAATTAGAAATTGAAAGCCTAAATAGCTTAAGAAGGTGAAATTGATAAGTTGAATTGGTTCAATTTCAAGTATTAGACTATATGGGAGTTTAAATAAATATTTGATTCAGTTTAGTAAAATTAAGATTTGATCAATTGGGTCCAGATTAGAATTCATTAAGTTATAAGGATTGAAAATTAAGGTTATTATGAATTAAATTTATTTATGAGATGTTCAATTTGAATATGTAATTTATCGGTGAAGATTTTGAGTTTGATTTGAAATTAAAGGCTAAGATTTGGGAAACCAAAATTAATGATGATAATAAGTTCAATTTGATATTTGGAGCCTTTTGGGAGTTCAATTAAAAATCTAATTTAAATTGATAAATTTAAATATAATTAATTGGGCTCTAATGGAAGTCAAATTAGATTAATTACATTATGTGGGATTTGTGATTAATTATGATTAATTTAATTATGTGTTAATCAAGATTTATGAAAACTAAGTGGTACTTAATTAAATTAATCTTAACCATAAATTAAATTGTAGAATGGTCTATAATTTAAGGATGTATGTGGGTGTGGGTGTGGGTGTGGGTGTGTAAAGAACTATTGTGTGTGTGCTGAGAAGTCTGTGTATGTGTGTGCATGTGAGTGATGTGTTGGAATTCGATGTGTTGGAATTCAAGGATGGGTACACGTGTGCCTATGTACATGTGAGTGATGTATTTGTGTAATGTTTGGAGGGATTGCTTCAATTGTTTTCTTGGAAGCTCAAAGAGCCGAGAGAGTGAGAGAGAGAGAGAGAGATAGCTGCTGGCAGAAAAAAAATGAAGAGACGAAGAGATTTGAGCTCAATGAAGAACCAAAGAAGGAAAGTGTAGAAAGAAAGGGAAAATTGAGGAAATCATCAAGGAACTCATCAATTGAAGAACTTTAGATAAATTTCTAACCTAATTCTTGTAAACAAACCTTCTAATACTTGAATTCAAGAAGAAATTAGGTTCAATTGCCTATAATTTGGATGAAATGAGGAATTGAACAGAGAATTTATGTTAGGTTAATGAATATGGACATTAATCTCATAATATCATCAAATTGAGTTTGATTTTGAACACTATGAAGTATTTGAGTTTTGTATTTGAGAAAAGTTAGGGATCATGAAATTTTTTTCATGAAAATGATCATAAAAGATTTATGATCCTTGGA